CGATTGATGCAGCAGAAAAAAATTGACGCATCCTTTATATCGTTTGAAGGTACTGCTTTAAAATGGTTTCAGTGGGAGAATCGTCGGCATCCGATTTCGCGTTGGGAGGATTTGCATCAACTGATTCTTCGTCAATTCAGATCGGCAGCAGCTGGAACCTTATGCGAACAGTTTTTGGCGGTCAAACAGGAAGGTACAGTCGATGAAGGATGAAGTTTGTGGAATTGGCGGCACCATTGGAAGCAATCTCGGAAGAAGTATTCATGAGTCAATTCATCAACGGTTTGAAGAATTCGATCAAAGCTGAGGTACGACTTCTCAATCCAGTAACACTTGAGGAAGCGATGGAGATGGCTATGAAAGTTGAAGCTAGAAACAATGTGATCAATAAGGAAAGAACGTTCTCAATGCCAAAAAAATCATTTACGACGTTCTCGAGTAATAGGATTGTTACCGGTGGGGCTGAATCAGTAAACAGTTCTAGTTCGATGAACAATTCGATAAACAACTCGAGATCGGAGTATAGAAGACTGTCGGATCAGGAGGTTCAACAAAAAACGAGCTTTGGGCCTTTGTTATCGTTGTGATGAGAAGTATTCTCCAGGCCATAAGTGTAAAAAAAAAGAGTTGAATGTTTTGTTAGTACAAGAGAAGGAAATGGTGGATTCCGGTAGCGAAGTTAAGGACCGTAAAGTGCTGAATACAGCTGACATGATTGAGGTGAGCAAAGAAGTCGAAGTTCATCTTAATTCAGTAGTAGGCCTAACGAATCTGAATACTATCAAAATGGAAGGAAACATAGAAGGTCAAAAAGTGGTAATCCTCATCGATAGTGGAGCAACTCACAATTTCGTTTCCAAAGATATAGTAGCTAAGTTGAATCTGAAGATTGACAAAACGAAAGAGTATTCTATAACGATGGGAATGGGGAACTAAGTGAAGAGTAACGGGATTTGTAAGCATGTTGTGTTGAATGTGCAAAGTTTGGAGGTGGTAGAAGACTTTCTGCCCATCCAATTGGGAAACAGTGATGTGATCTTGGGGATTCAATGGCTGGAAACTTTAGGAGCAACGTACACTAATTGGAAGCAGCAAGTTATGAAGTTCACAATCGGAGGTAAATCGGTGGTGCTGAAAGGTGATCCCTCTTTAGGGAAATCGTTAATTTCATTAAAAGCAATGGGGAAATTGATCCAACAAGAAGGACAAGCTGTTTTGGTGGAGTTGGGAGCTTATACAGTGATGAATGATGAAGTGCAAGAAGTAGGGTCGAAGGTACAATCGGTTCTCGAAGAGTTTGAGGAAGTATTCAATATGCCAAAAAGGTTACAACCGAGGAGAGGTAAGGAACATGGAATTGTTTTGAAGGAGGGAACGGATGCAGTCAACGTAATACCTTATTGTTACCCACACTACCAGAAAGATGAGATAGAAAAGTTGGTGAAAGAAATGTTGGAAGCAGAAGTGATCCAGCCAAGCAACAGTCCTTTTTCAAGTCCCATCCTATTAGTCAAGAATAAAGATGGTAGTTGGAGGTTTTGCATCGACTATAAAGCTCTCAATAAGGCTACGGTGGTAGATAAATTTCCGATACCGGTGATCGATGAGCTGCTAGATGAATTACACGGTGCTAAAGTGTTCTCCAAACTCGATCTAAAATCGGGGTATCACCAGATTCGTATGAAGGATGAAGACATTCAAAAGACAGCTTTTAGAACACATCAAGGCCACTACGAGTTTAAGGTAATGCCTTTCGGTCTTGTAAATGCACCTTCCACTTTTCAAGGATTGATGAACGAAGTTTTTAAAAACTGTTTAAGGAAGTTCGTGCTAGTGTTCTTTGACGATATATTGGTGTATAGTCGATCGGAGGAAGAACACATTGACCATTTGAGATTAGTGTTCCAATTGTTATCTCAAAACAAATTATATGCCAATAAAAAGAAGTGTGAATTTGGTCAAGAAAGGCTAGGTTACTTGGGTCATATGATCTCAAGTAAAGGAGTGGAGGTAGATGATTATAAAATCAAAACGATTTTAGAGTGGAAGGTACCTCGAAACGTGATGGAGTTGAGAGGTTTTTTGGGGCTATCGGGATACTATCGAAAATTTGTAAAGGGATATGGAGTTATAGCTAGTCCTCTCATGGATTTACTTAAAAAAAACCAATTTGGTTGGACTGAGGAAACACAAGAGGCTTTTGACAAATAGAAGAAAATCTTGTCTTCACCACCGATATTGAAGCTGCCTGATTTCTCAGCCGAGTTTATAGTCGAGACAGATGCTTCCGGGACAGGGTTAGGGGCTGTTTTGATGCAGAATGAACAGCCCGTGGCTTATTACAGTCAAGTTCTGGGCACAAGAGCAAGGCAAAAGTCGACTTATGAGAAAGAATTGATGGCCATAGTGTTAGCTATGAAGAAGTGGAGATCCTATTTGCTTGGCAGGCATTTCACGGTTCGCAGTGATCAACAGAGTCTCCGATATTTGTTAGAGCAACGAGTGGTGGAACCGGAATATCAGAATTGGATGAGTAAACTAATGGGGTATAATTTTTCGATCGTTTACAAACAAGGGAGTGCTAATAAAGCTGCTGATGCACTCTCCCGTAAGCATGAAGAGATAGAGTTTTCTAATTTGAGTGTGCCATCATGGAGACAGTGGGAAAGTTTGAAAAAAGAGTTGGAAATGGATGATTTTTTGCTCAAAATAAAAGAAGTGTTGAAAGATGCTAGTCGACATAAAGGTTTCGAAGTAAGACAAGAATTGTTATTCTTTAAGGGTAGATTAGTGTTGCCCAGAAAGTCGATGATCATTCCAAAGTTGTTTGAAGAATTCCATGTGTCATCGATCGGGGGGCATAACGGTGAAGAAAGAACGTACCAACGGATGGCAGGTGAGTTATTCTGGATTGGTGTGAAAAAGGACGTACTTAATATGGTTAAAGGATGTGAAACATGTCAGAGGAACAAGTCTTAAGTGGTTCATCGGCAGGATTACTACAGCCGTTGACTCTTCCAGACAGTTTGGAGTGATATTTCGATGGATTTCATTGAGGGTCTACCAATTTCGGGTGGTTTAAATTCTATCTTGGTGGTGGTAGACAGATTCAGCAAATATGCTCATTTTGTGGGTCTAAAGCATCCTTTTACGGCTCAATCGGTAGCGGAGGTATTCTCTAAGGAGATAATCCGATTGCATAGGGTACCCAACTCAATCGTTTCTGATCGTGACAAAGTATTCTAGAGTAATTTCTGGAAAGAATTGTTCAAATTGCAAGGGACAACTCTGAAATTCAGTTCGGCTTATCACCCACAAACGGATGGTCAAACCGAAGTGGTGAACAGAGGGCTGGAGCAATATTTGAGGTGCTGGATTTCGGATAGACCTGGCCAGTGGAGCAAATGGTTATCATGGGCAGAACTGTCATACAACACCACGTATCATACAGCTCTTAAATGTTCTTCGTTCAAGGTGTTGTATGGAAGGGATCCTCCTCCTTTATTACGTTATAAAGATGCTTCAACTGTGGTACAAACGGTAGACATGGAATTGATGAGTCGAGATGAGATTTGGGATGAGGTACGAATGCATCTTTTGAAGGCGCAGTGTAGAATGAAACAGCAAGCTGATTTGAAACGAACCGAGGTGGATTTTGCTGTTAATGATTTGGTGTTTTTGAAGCTTGGACCGTATCGACAAAAATCCCTTGTGAATGGGAATAGTCCAAAGTTGATGGCAAGATTTTATGGTCCTTACAAAGTCTTGGAAAAGATCGGAAAAGTCGCTTATCGTTTAGAGTTACCGGAAGAAGTAAAGATACATTCTGTCTTCCATGTATCACAACTTAAAAGAGCTGTTGGGAATTGTTTGGTTACGAAGAACATACCAATTCAAGTATCTGCTGGTATGGTGTTACAAGTAGAGCCGGAAGCCTTGTTGGATGTTAGACGGCTGAAAAAAAATGATGCCGGAAGTTTGGAGGTGTTAGTCAAGTGGAAAGGGCAATCCGATTTCGAGTCGACTTGGGAGAATTTGGAAGCTTTGGCTCGACAGTTTCCTAATAATCACCTCAAGGACAAGGTGAAAGCTTTGGGGGGAGGTATTGATAAGCCTACTATACGTTTTACATATAAAAGAAGATTTAAGTAGTTTAGTTGTAAGTAAGTGGAGGGTAGTTTGGGTATTTTCTGAATAGAATAATTGAGATAGTTCCTTTATATTGGGATGTTTGTTAGTGGAGTTGCATTCTGTTTTGTAAGTTTGAAAAGGAGCGCAAGCTCTCTAGGGAGAGAACCAGCCTCTCAAAAGCCGTGTAACCCTCTGTAATCTCTTTTTCTTTACTCAATTCAATAAGGAAGCTACCGACAACAATCAATTTGCATCAGTTGTTTACTGCAGGTCGATGAATGTAAGGAAACAAATTTATTACCATCCCCCAGACAGCCATACTAATAGTTGACTAAAAATACAGAACACTCACAAAGGCCACTTCCGTATTTTGCATGGATATTTATGCATAATAACTTCTTGTATTTTCTATTGTTCCAGGATAGAGAAATATAGTTTGCAATGCTATACAGAACCGAAAAGCATGGCCCTCATCCCCTAGCAGCTACGATGTAATTAAGCAACCTTCTTTCCACTCTTTTGCTTCACACAGAGCAACAAAATAGCCTCTTCATTCACTGTTCTATGAAGCCCTTAACACAAAGTTCATGGAGAATTCAGAAAAGTTTGGAGTTATTTTATTCTTAGTATCAACTGATTCACTGTTATATTATCTTTATATTATGCATTACTACTTTTCCAATGTGTTGTTCTTGGGGAACAACTTATTTCCCCGTACAATGGCAATTCTTCTAAATGGTATAGTGAGAATATAGCTACCCCATAAGCAGTTAGAATCAAGTTTACTATTTGTACACCAATCTTTGAGAATATGCACACTAGCCATCTAAAGTACCATATTCTTAATCCGGCAGGATGAGGATACTGACATTTTGGTGCCAACTCTGCATTTATCTTCAACTTGCGGAGTTGCACAAGAAGCACAGGAAGTATGGCAACTCTCAAAGCTAGTGTCGAAATTACAATAACCATCCACCTGCAAAAATTAGTCAAGGACTAAAATAAGAATAAGGTCGATCCATATGAATATAGTAACTAAAAGAATGACATTGTAAGAACGATAGGTAGGCAATGGTATGCGATCTGTGAGAAACTAGGGGCTTCACATGCTAAAACTAGATATAACCATAAAACCTAAAACTCAACAGACGAAAAACCGATTCACCTACAAAATCAACAAACATGGTTTACAGATTCTGGATGAAAAGTGAATGAAAGATTAGTCCCTGCCGAAAAAAATTATATTTCAACTTTTGACATGAAGATCTAGTAGAATGAAAGATTGATATGGCTTTTATACTAAAAACTTAACAGTTAACACCAACAACATCCATAGGAATATGTTCTCACAAGCTGTCCTACTTCCTTGTGATGTGTTAGAACATATATCATTAACTGAAAGTAACTACTGTAACCTCAAATTCAGAATGTATTTTGAAGATAAGGGTAAAATTAACTACTAAACACAAAAGGATGTCAAATTTTGTTCAAGCTGGCAACTCCAATTACACCCTCCTTTCAATAAGCTGAGCTACAAATATTTGATAAGGATGTTGTTGCAAACTTAACATCCACATTACTATATTTGTACAAGTTGTCAAGAGGTTCAATGCAGTCACCAATTTGTGCATTTTGTTGGAATATTTCATATACCTGTTGGTGTGCTCTTGACTATTTACGAATCACAAAATGCACCAATTGATCATTACATGGGTTTTGCTAATGTTTTAAGTGTGACCCAGGCTTACCATAAATTGCCAAATGGACCCTCAAGTCTAACATTTTAGATGGGCGATCTTGTGCATCATATCATAAATATATGAAAAGGATGGATCCAGTTGCTATCTAAGTCTTCATCCTTATCTTCGAGTTCTAATATCTAGGTAAATCTTGGAGAATTTTTAAGAACACCTACGTTCTCCCTAAATTTTGAAGAGCTATGAGCACCCAACGGTCTCTCCTTAACAATGCAGTGAGACGGCATTTCATCTTCAGCTAAGTGTTCAATTTTGCACTTGAACACAAGTTTGGTTTTCCTCAGTGATGAATATCCATTTATATATCACAATGTGGATCCATGACAAATTTGGCACAGTAACTACTAACTAACGCATTTGTGGCACTTGTTCCTCAAAGAATTGGGATTGCATATTAATTTTGCAGTCTATAACTAAAGTGAAAAATTTAAGTTTATCTACTTTCTTTGGTCTGAATACATGATATAATCTTAAGCTTACCAAGGCATGCCAGAGAGATCATGAACTTTATCCAGAAACCAAACCAAGCAACGAACTGGAAGAATCGCCTCCTCACCACTGCCGGCCGCAACACTCACTTGCCCGCTAATTCCGGCATCACCGCCACTACCATATTCGTAATCAAAGAATCCTCGCCCCGATAGCTCTTCACCATCAGAACAATCAGTGGCTTTTTCTCTATTGGTCGAAAAGGAACGATAACATGATGACGCTGATGAGTACTTGTATTGTCTTAAAAATCCACCACCATCACCACGTCTATAGAAGCCATGTGTAGCGAAATATCGATATGATGTACTAGCGAAATGGTGGGGTTCGATTGAAGAGCAAGTAGATGATGAAGAGATTGATGAAGTGATTA